TAGCTTTAAAAAACTATCAATAGTATATTATATAAAGTACATAGCTTTAAAAAACTATCAATAGTATATTATATAAAGTACATAGCTTTAAAAACTATCAATAGTATATTATATAAAGTACATAGCTTTAGAGCTCTTTATAACTTTAAGGAAATTTGTGAATATAAGAAACTGACCAGCTTCCAGAACCTCGCCTTCCAAACGGGTGAGAGGGTCGCCCCGTTGTGGGCGGCAGGAGAAACGGGGTCGCGACTCGGTCAACACAGAGTGACCTTGATCTGTCCCGTTTGGGAATATTGACCTTCGGAGGTCCAGGAGGAGAGTGGTACCCCCAACCAAATCTAAGGGGCATCTCCAGAGATCTTAGGCAGACAACGTTATAAAGTAGATATGACACGTGGCAGGTCTGTTTCTCTAGACTCAGATTATTAGCAAGCGTTTTCACACATTATGGTCATGTTTCATCATCTGATCGTATGTGACGCGGTACAGCCTAACATCTGGCGAACTTTGTAATGGCCTGAGACCGTTAATGTTCATGTTGTTGTAGGGTTCGGTTCAACTACACCGAAATAAATATGCAACAACTTTCAAACGCCATCGATAATTAAGGGTTACGATGACGTAAAATAACGCTTAAATAAATTAATATCAGTCACTAAATCATGTTCTATATAACAGTAAATGTGGCTGAACACACGTGATGACCCAACAGAACAACTTCCATGAATTGCGCCGGGGGGAATCGGCTTTCAATCGTACACCACGAAAACACGGGGCAGACTAAAGGCGCCCCAGTAGCCTCACGTTCACCGTAACACCTCGAATAGCATTCTGTGGACGTGCGCAGACGCTTAAGTTGCAAAATCCTCGTGCGATGTAGTCAGGTAGTATCTGCAGTAGCTAATTAGTTTATTTACTCACATGAAAAGTTTGTACATAAAGTGACAAGCAATACCCCATGTTTTACATGTTATTTTTACATAAAATACCCTATGTTTTACATGTTATTTTTACATGAAATACCCCATGTTTTACATGTAATTTTCACATGAAATACCCCATGTTTTACATGTTATATTCACATGAAATACCCCATGTTTTACATGTTATTTTCACATGAAATACCCGATGCTTTTCATATTATTTGAAAGTTGAAATTTTGTTGAATTAGTTGTAAATAAAAAATAAGCACTTGTTTTCTTTTATTTGTGAATAATTATTATTTACCATAGTTCCAAAATGATTCATCATTCCTTTTCATTGAAAATTTGAAAAAAATGTGTAATTGAAAGCACAATCCTTCGTGAGCTCAACAAGTCATATAAAGTAAAGTTTTTTTTATCTTTCTGCACCCCGTATACAGGACGCTTAACGGTAATCTTGATGACTTATAAGGGTAAAATTCCGGATTTCCATTATGAGAAGCTTTGCGTTTAAAACATGAAAATGCAAAGGTTTTCCGCCGTCTTCAGGCCGAACGCGGCCCAGTGATTAGCGTGTGGGTCTGTGTTATAACAGTGACAGTCAAATCCCACTATTCTGTCTGACAAGAGCAGCACAAGCATTGACGGTGGATTGGATGGTGTTGACTAACTGCCCTTATTCTAGCC